AACTTGAGTTTTTGTGATAACGATCTGCCCGATAAAGGAAGGAATCATAATTTGGCTCTCCATGAACTGTAAGAACGATTCATTATGAAATGTGATGATTGACAATGGACCCGCTTTAAATGTCATACCGAGGAGCACGCTTATGAAGTTGAAGTATCAAGGAGCTACCATGCGCCCAAGTGGCATAATTGTAAAAGCTTTCAATGGATCAAGAAAGTCTATCATGAGGGAAGTAGATTTTCCTATTCACATAGGCCCGCATTTATTTCAGATTACTTTCCAGATTATGGATATTGTGTCTGCTTACAGTTGTTTGTTGGGACGATCATGGATACACGAGGCAGGGGCTGTCACCTCGACTTTACACCAGAAGCTGAAGTCTGCGTGAAGGAAAGGTGGTAATCATAAATGGTGAACAAGCATTGTTAACATCTCATTTATCCTCTTTTAGTGTTGTGGAAGCAGATGAAGTTGCTGTTGGAACCCAGTTCCAAGATTTATCCATTGATAATATAAGGGGAAATGATAATTTTATAGCTTCGTTTAAATATGCTTAGTAGGTTGTGCGTAATGGCCCTAGTAAAGTATGGGGCAGATTGTTGACCCATCTGTAAACAAGAATAGAGTTGGTTTAGGATTCTCTGTGAAGAATGATAAAGGTAAGTACATGAAGCTGAAGTCTGCTTTGGTAAAATATCAGGATATCTTTCATAGCGGGGGTTATCTTCATCCAATTGTTCCTGGGATTAATGCTATTGGGGAAGATGAAGCAGAGCCATAGATGCCGAACTATGTGATGCACGGAGTTAGAGCTCGGAATTAGGTCACCATTGATGTTCCCTCTTTCATTCATGTCTTGAAGTAATTTTGTTTTGTTAATCTTTTCAAAAAAAACTTTCACTCTGCCCAAGGTGAAAGTATTGATATTGTATGAGTTTATCTGTTTGCTTTGATCTTTAAAATCAATAATAAAAGTTGTCTTTAGTTCCCAATTTATGTCTTTTGTTTTCTGCTTTTTCTTGAAAATGATAATAAAAAAACCTTTTCAAAATAAATAATAATTGTAATTGAATCTGCATAATCACTTTCTATATGTGTCAGTTTCTAAAAGCAATCATAAATTATATGTGCAGATTAATTAAAAAACATGTTGAATACAATGACCCTGCACCCTCTCCCAACTTTGAATATCCTGTGTATAGGGTCGAAGAAGAAGAATATGATGAGATTCCATAAGAGGTTTCATGCTTGCTTGAGCATGAGGAAATTGTTATTCAACTATATAAAGAGCCATTGGAAGTGATTAATTTGGGTTCAGAGGAAGATCCAAAGGAAGTCAAGATTAGAGCATCGCTGCATCCCGATGTAAAGAAAAGGTTGATTGAATTGTTGAAAGAATATGTGGATATATTTTCTTGGTCATACCAAGACATGCCTGGGTTGGATACGGATATTGTGGAACATCGTTTGTCACTAAAGCCAGAATGCCTGCTAATCAAGCAGAAGTTGCAAAGAACTCACCCTAGTATGGCAGTGAAAATTAAAGAAGAAGTTTTAAAGCAGATTAATGTCGGTTTTCCTATGACATCAGTGTGCCCTCAGTGGATTGCCAATATTGTACCAGTGAAACAACCGGCAAACCGTCATCTGATATAAAATCAATGAAGTCGCCACCGAATGTCTTTTATCCCGCCTAAAGCGAAAGGTAAATATTGAGAAAACATAAGAAGGGAGAAGTCACGATCTTGCGACCGAAAGATACGGGTTAGGGAATTTTTTAGACGAGGGGAAGGTATTAGCACCCCACACACCCGTAGTACTCTACGGTATCCACTCTTGTTGTCTATCTTATGGGTGTGTAAGGATCTATATCTAAGTTGTACAGGGAATGCATGCAAAAGAAAAGAGAAAATAATCTAGGGAAAATAAAAGTAATGCTTGTTCAGGCCCTATCCCAATGCCTACGTATCCATTTTAAGGAATCGGAGCAGTCGTAGTTCGGTTCATATATTTTGGTTGGTATGTGATTTTTAGTTAAGAAGACAAAAGCAACATTCAAGATGGAAAAACATCAAATAAAACGGAAAAACATCAACAACGATGATAAAACAACAACAAAAAAGGATGACAAGACATCACATGGTAACACAAACTCTGATAAAATGATAAAATGTTAGCATGATATCCAAAATATCAGACAAGACGATAAAATATTACACCTAACAATGATATCAAAAATCAAAGTAGGATGACAAACATACGTGATGGCGAAACATCAGCAACAAACAAATGTGATGGCAAAACATCAGCAAAAAGATAGCAAGATAGCATGGCAAAGATGACGAGACATCAACAATCTAGATGATAAAACATCACACCTAACAATGATATTAAGAATCAAAATAGGATATCAAACATATGCGATGGCGAAACATCGGAAATAAACATATGTGATGGTGAAACATCAGCTAAAAGATAGCAAGGTAGCTTGGAAAAGATGGTGAGACATCAACAATTCAGATGATAAAACATCACACCTAATAATGATATTGAGAATCAAAGTAGGATAACAAACATAGGCGATGGCGAAACATCGACAAGGTTTAAAATAAAGCCAAAAGGAACACAAACAATTAAGATTGGTTTGTATTTTTTACCTTGAAAAAGGATTTAAGCATTGTTAGGTATTTTGGAGTTTAATAAAGAAAAGGTTTTTGTTTTAATGCACATGAAAAAAGGGAAGAAAAGGTCTAAGGGAAACTATCCTATTTTTTACGCCTAATGTTATCATACAATCGTGGTCCTATGTCAGGGATTAACGAAGACGGAAATTTCTACCTAATAGTAGCATGTGTGGTTTGCAATCCTAATATATATCTCGAACATTAACCTAAAAGAGTCGAGAAAAACCAAAAGAAACATGGTGGCGGAAAGCAAATAAACAAATAAGTGTTTCGGAAAAAGCACGCAAACAATGCAATGCGAAAGCAAATGCATGGGTGAAAGGGAAATGCCATAGCCAAGAGGAGCGAATCACCCGAGTACAAGCACTCTCAACTGTGGGACAAGATAGCTATATCGGGCATTGAATTACCGGGCAAGCAGTAGATATGCATAAAGTGATGTTCAAAGCGTCTAAGCATCTGACCAAGATATAGAGGATCAAGGTAGACGATAGAAGATAGTATGAACAATCACAGAGTATCAGCATTGGCCAATGAGAACTCCTGACAAAATGTGGGGGACTAGAATGTGAATCCCTTTTCCACTGACGGACTCAGTAAACATGATCTTGGGCACAACGGCAATAGCGTCGAAGTACAACGTGAACTGCGGGTGACACAGACGAAAATTGGAGGGGGTCGATTGTGAACCCTTTCTGCTCGCCTCTCTTTTAGAGGACTTAAGAATGGTTGCCATAAAAAGACCTAAAACCATCTCATCACTATACGAGCACAAAATGTAAACATACGTGCGGAATTTCCCATTAAACTCAAATGGGGCTTTAAACAAACCAAGCACAAATAGCATACGAAAAGTGGTGCCTGCTACAGGTCTTTAAACAGATACTTCGAGCGCATGCTCTTTTTATTTTCCGCTTCCTACTTCTCATGATTTCTAGAAAGTGGTAAAATGTTGTATTTATAATATTTACAACAACAATGATCTGAATGTATACCAAAAAAATAAAACAAATCCGTATACTGCAAACTCTAGAACAAATATCCAAAATCTTCTGCAAAAGCTCCAAAAGCTAGCGTCCACAAGCAAGCAACGTTAGAAAAAGTGATAGCCAAATGCAAGCAAGCATCTGTCACCGAAGCGGCCAATCCAAACTTGTTTCTCAATATATGCACAACTCACCAAAATAGTTAGAAAGTAAGAACACACTTAAAATACAAATGGTAAGTAAGAAATCAATGATTAAAACAACAAGATTATGTACAATACAAAATAGGCAAGTCACTTAAACATAGTATGGCATTTTTGGACAGCATAGCATTAGTACCGAAAAATGCACCAAAATTGGTATAAAAGTAAGCAAAGTGAAATCTGGCATAAGTATGAATTATGAATTGTCAAGTAGTGAAAATGAATCATGTTTAGGTACTAATGACCATACTCCAGACAGCCATGCCATATTCAAGTAATTGCACTCAAAAACGGTAAAAATGCGCATGTACAAGTTAACGGTATTAACAAAATGCGGTGTTTACATAAAGCAGAAATGTAGACATTCAATGTAAAAACTAAAGAGTTATACTATTTGCTACAAGTTAGTATATTTACGCACTAAAGGGAATGGTGTCATGGACCAAAGTTAATGCAAAACGGTATTTTCCAAAAAAAAATGCATAATACGTACATAAACTGAAAAGTGCTTCTGAAACAAGTGGTAACCTCTTGAAAACCATCCGGAATGATTTATAAAAATTATGTACAACTATACATGTGCCAACAGTTGCAAAAATGCGTTCAATTTGGTCAAATTTCACCCGAATATTCGATTTTAGTAATAATTATGGTTCAGGGAAATCGGGTGAAAATGTCCGAATCGAAAAACTGAACGTGTAGGCAACTCCATATGGCTCGAGAGACATGACTTTCATTAAAGAAAGTCGGAAAAACTCAAAGCGGATTGAAAGTTAAGGCAAAAATGAGTTTATGTCAAAAAATATCATATTTTCAAATGTCGAGATGTTTCCATTAAACTCGATCAAACTTGTTTCAACTGAGTTTTACAATGGTATTAGAATTCATTGGAACTCATCTCAACACCTAGCAATTACAATCAACAAGTATCCACAAATATTTGGCAAAAAAGTGAGTTTTATGTCAAAAGTGAGAAAAACATTGGTAACTTGAAAATGCTACGTACAAGATACATCATAATGCAAGGAAGGCCCTCATGAGATTATCAACCAAAAAAACACAGCAACAAAGGCCAATTACTTTGATATCAAGACCTTGAAGAAAACTCACAATATAAAGTTCCAAATTCATGAGTTACTTATCCAATACCTAGCTTCTTTAGCATTCGGCTGTCAAAACATAAATGATGTCATGAATTAGTACCTAAAACTAACCGAAGTGTTAGTATGCTCAAATTTCTTTAAAGGTGAGAAACTCAAGTTCCAAGATCAAGCACTCATACATTTCGACTCAATGGTGTGCAAATTGGCAATTGAAATAAGTAAGAAGCATAAAAATTCTATTCAGGACAGCATTACAATCGTTTTGAAAACGTGCAACAATTGAGTCAAAATGCAAAGTTATTTGTATTGAAAACAAAAAGATACAACACCGAGCACAAGTAATCAATCAATGAGAAGTGGATCGTGTTTTATTGAAAAATGAGTATTCCGGGCAGCCATACTATACTTACATAAGTATGCCTAAAAAGCGATTAAAACACAACCAAAGATATTGGTATTAACAAGAGGAAAAATTATGTACAAAGAAATACCGTTCATGAATCAAAATTCTATGTACATATAATTCAAGATTCCGGGCAGCATTGTTACCTTTTTGTAAGGTCCAAAATATCTTGAAAAAGTGCAACGGAAAAGATCTCAGTATCTTTTAAAAACAACAAAATAATGCGGTAACTCGAATCCGGAATTAAATTAGATGCCAAGGTGTAATCAGAAATTATGGACAGACCTATATACATGCTAGCATTCACCACAAATCAGTATTTGGAAATCCACATTTAACGTCTAGTCTTGAATGCTAGTATGCAAGTACTTATCCACAACTTGCACGCAAAGCGGCATTACGTAAATGACAAAGCCAACAAAACCGTGGGAGAAATACATGAACTTAAAGCATTACAACACATCTACAAATTGCAAAACTATCTCCACTGCAAGCTTATGTCAAAACAGAGGAAAATTGGAGCAATACCATAACTTGTAGAAAGTAAAAACGTATGCATCAAGATACATTCTAATGCTCCAATTTCCACCAAAAAACAACAAATGATGAAATTAAAGAATGCTAGTTAGTATCAAAGCATTAAAGAGATTAGTAGTATTAATTTCAATTCATGAGGTTATGTTACCGGCACTTTTCAAACAAGCTGTAAGAAATTCAGAATTAAGCATAATCTCATAACCTCATGAACAACTAACCAACTCCTTGTTTCTCATCATTTTGATATCAAAATTGATAACAAAATAAATAATTAGTACCTAAAACTAAGCTAAGTGTTAGTATGCACTAAATTCCTAAATTAATTGTAGAATTAACTTAAGCTAACACAAATCTGAAAATTATACCTAATTATATTCCATTCTAAAATTCTGAAAATTCAAGAGGCAAAACAAACTCTCTAGTTCAATTCTTGAATTCTTAACTATTGCAAAAATCTGAAAAATTCAACCTATATCCTAGTTACAACAACAACTCCAAATTCAAGATTCAACAGAAAAACAAAGGAGATTATAACAGTACCTCTTGAAGATGCTTGCAGTATTTGAAGAGGAAGAATCGAGGTTGACCAGAACTGAGTCTACCTCCTGGGAGGAAACAGGACGCGACGGAGGGAGGTTGCAGACGCACGGAAGTTGCAGAGCTGAGAAACGAAGAACGGAGGGTGTTGCGGTATTGATTGCAGAACAGAGGGGTGCGGAGTTGAGAGATTGTAGAACAGAGGGGTGCGGTTCTGAGAGATTGTAGAACAGAGGAGTGCAGAGTTGAGAGCAGAAGAACGGTCCGGTGGTGAGGAAATGGAATTCCAGCGGCGAGGGAGGAGGCGGCCGGAGTTGGCTGAGAATAGAAGTCCGACGGTGAGGGAGCAAAACCGTTCGGGAGGGAGCCTCCTTCTTTTATTATTTTTTTTTTATGAGAGAAAAAATAGAGAAAGTGAAAGAGAGGGAAAAGTCCAATTTTGGAAAAAATGAGAGTCCCCTTTATTTTGGGAGTAAAATTTGATATATAGTAAATGCAAAAATCTCAGGTTTTCAGCTTATTCACCGCTTAAGTGAAAATCACACTGTGATCTGTAAAACTTTCCGAACACGGACCTCCTGTGAAAATATGCACCTCTGAGTCATGGAAGCAACCCAAAAAGAATGGATGCATTCTAAAAAAATTGAGTGAATTTGATACGTTTAAGCGGCGAGACGTCACCGTCAAAAATTAATTAAGTTAAAATATCAACTTATTTGATCTCTGTCATTCGAACAAGCAACAAGCTCATGCCCGAAAAATTAGAATCTCGTCTCGACTTTATCAGAAGAAATATAGATCTCCGCATCCCTGAAATCGTGTCAAAAATGAGAGACATCTGATAAACGAGGAATTTATTATGAATTTCCTAGTGGAGCCACGTCCAGACTTTTTACCGGTACGAATAACATCGTTTTGCAAAAATAAACCAACAACGGAGGTCTTTGGGCTACCGTTCGTCTTGACAATATGAAACAGAATTGAAATAGAAAAAATTATCAAGCCAACTCATCAATAACGGGCGCGATCCAGTAAAAATTGACCAAGTTATGAATTTTTGAATATTGGAAGCCGGACAGACAGATACCAAATAATTTCTCAGTAATTTGCTATTTACGCAGCCTTCCTCAAATCATTAGCTCTCGCCCCGGAATGTCCATCAAGAGGATAACAAGATGGAACTTTGGGCACCAAAACCACACTCATACAATACTCGAGCCAGGAGATATGAATTTTTAATGCGCACAAAAAACACGGCTCAGTCAACTGTTTATCAGTATTATCCACTATTCAGCTTTGTCTGATTTGTGAGTTCGGAGACCTTCCTCCGAGAATTAGCTTTAGGCCTGAACAAGGAAACTGGAGAGGGTATCGAGGCGGATTTGATGATGCAAAAATCACCTCGAGACGGTATACGAGATCGGAGTTAGAAATTTCTAAATGCCTGAAACACCATTGTTTGGTAACCTGAAAGCTCAGTAATAAAATTATTTGACCGCCTTCTGCACATAATTGGCTCCCATCCAGAACATGAAAAGCAAAGATAATATCAACACGGACTTGGTGATCAAATTTTAGCCTAAAAAAATACTCTGTCTCACAGTTAGAAAATTATGAAGTTGACGCACCGAAATAGATTTTTAACCCGAACTATTCTGAATCAGATCAAACCCTCTGGTTCCCTTATATTGCCCAAGACATGAGAAAATACATAGGAATAATACATGGTGATAACCCGTTCCTCAGCTGATTGAGTTTCCTTCATAAAGCCTTTGACGCTTCTCATGAATAGTCGATGCTTTACTGGCATACCTTGATCCTATAGCAATAGAACCAATGTATGTATGCATATGCAAATAAAATATAAGCCAAATAAAAAATCTAAAATCAAGAGGGTAAATTTTGGGGTGCAACAACTTTCCCTATTCAATCGTCTTAAACATGATAAGGGAGAAAAGCGATGGCTTTCGAGCGTTCAGAGTTGAAGATGATTGAATAGGAAAGAATCTGAAAATTTACACTCTTGAAAAAGAGAAGAAAAACCTGCCGAAGACAAGGAATGCCAGCAGGCGTGGGACTTAGCATGTATCAAACAAAATTGGATTTAGAAAACTAAGGGTTTAATGAACATTGGACCTCCTAAGACATGCTTCTGAATGAAGCTGTAACGCAGATTTTAATAAAGTTGAGACAAAACTAAAACTTAAAAGAGTAGATGAAACTAAACTTCAGAATAAATGTTTCAGGATAAAACCGGACCATAAAAGGGGTGAGATAAGAATCAAACCACAGAGAATAGGCGAAACTAAACTCTAGAAAATAATGCAGGGCAGAGTGGCTAGAGCGTGTGATTCTAGGAGCACCTGCTACTCTCAAACCAAGGGAAGACAGTGTGATGAAATTGAAAGATCCCAAAAGTTATAAAAGAGACACGTTTCAACCCAAGATAGACAGTAAGAAGGAACTGAAAGAATCCCAAGAGTAAGAAGCAAAACGAGACGAAACTCGATTCATTATGACTAGGTAGACAAAACTAAACTAGATGAGTACCAGAAAGAAAACTGGATTTCACGCACACGTAACGAGGAAAAATTCAACCCATAGCAAAAGTGATAAGAGTGCATGTTCCTCAAAGCACCTGTTGGTCTCTAACCGAGGGAAGACAGTGAGATGGAACTAAAAGATCCCAAAAGTTATAAAGGAGACAAGTTTCAACCCAAGATAGACAGTATGAAGGAACTGAAAGAATCTCAAGAGTAAGAAACAAAATAAGATGAAACTTGACTCATTATAACTAGTTAGACAAAACTAAACTAGATGAGTACCAGAACGAAAACTGGATTCCATGCACAGACGACGAGATCAAAACTCGACCCAAAGCAAAAGTGATGAAAGCGCATGTTTCCCAGAGCACTTGTTGGTCTCAGATCAATGGATAAATAGTAACGAAAACTGATAGAAGAATCCAAGGAACAAAAGAGACTGATTTCAACCAGGGACACAGTTACGAACACTACAAAGAGACTCAGTAAATGAAAATCGATAAAGGATTCAGTAATCAAACACTGATGGAAGTCCAAGGTATGAAAACAAAATGAGTCGACACTCGACTCATTATAACTAGTTAGACAAAACTAAAATATATGAGTACCAGAACGAAAACTGGATTTCATGCACGAGTGAGGAGACGGAACTCAAAACTCGACCCAAAGCAAGGTGATTAGAGCGTACTACTAAAAACCTGTTGAAAGCGAATATCAGGACAAAAATGGTATTCGAAAGGTAGATCAATAGACATTGGAATGAAGCAACGAGGGTGGTAAAGACTAAACCCGAGAAAAATGCGTCAAGATAAAACTGAACTACAATCAAGATTAGACACCCAACCATTCAAATGATTAACATCAAAAGGATATTTGTATGGGGTGAAGCTGAGATACTGAGGATGAAGACCTCGCTAGGGATATAATCTGAAGTTTTAGCAAATTCATTGGGGGAAATAGAAACAGTAATGGCTTATGTTCCAATGCATGTTTGAATTTTTTATAGCGTAATGCTCCATATAATGGATATGCTACACGTTTTATTAGATGAAATATAATGATGCATGTTTAAATGCTTCACCGGGGAATGGCCAATCGAGAAGCCAACAACCAAGAAGTCAGAATCTGACAAGACTTGCAAAAATAAAATGCAAAATCTGTTGGAGGAGAGAAAATATAAGGAACCGCTGGAAAGAAACCCTTGAAAAATAGTCGATGCTTTACTAGCATACCTTGATCCTATAGCAACAGAGCCAATTTATGCATGCATATGCAGATGAAATATAAGCCAAATAAATATTCTGAAATCAAGAGGGAAAATTTTTGGGTGCAACACCCATTATCAAAGAAAGACGGAAAAGTTTGCATGTGCATAGATTATAGAGATTTAAATAAAGTTAGTCCAAAAAATGATTTTCCATTGCCACATATTGATATGTTGGTCGATAGTATAGCAAAATTCAAAGTATTCTCGTTCATGGATAGATTTTCCGAATATAATCAAATTAGAATGGCTCCTGGGGACATGGAAAAAACAATGTTTATCACACCCTGGGGAACATTCTATTATAGAGTGATGCCCTTCGGGTTGAAGAACGCTGGTGTAACGTACCACAGGGCTATGACAACCCTATTCCATGATCTGATGCACAATAAAATTGAGGTATATGTTGATGATATGATTGCTAAGTCCCAGACAGAAGAAAGGCATGTAGAAGATTTGTTGAAATTGTTTCAGCATTTGAGGAATATCGTCTCCGCTTGAATCTAAATAAATTTACCTTCGGTGTTTGGTAAGGGAAATTGTTAGGTTTCATTATCAGTAAAAAAGGAATTGAAGTTGACCTTGATAAAATCAAAGCAATTTAAGAAATGCCAGCACCAAGAACTGAAAAGCGGGTTAGAGGATTCCTTAGGCGTCTGAATTAGATTTCTAGATTTATCTCCCATATGACCGCAACGTGTGAGCCAATATTTAAGTTGTTAAAGAAAGATCAAGGTTGTGTGTGGACAGATGATTGCCAAAGGGAATTTGAAAGTATTAAAGAGTATATGCTTGAACCTCCTATATTGCTCTCTCCTATTGAAGGAAGACCATTGATCATGTATCTGACAGTGTTAGATAATTCTATGGGTTGTATTTTGGGACAACAAGTTGAAACAGGGAAGAAGGAATATGCCATTTATTATCTCAGCAAGAAGTTTACTGACTATGAGTCGCGGTATTCTATGCTGGAAAAGACATGTTGCACTTTGGCCTGGGCGGCAATATGAATGCGACAATATATGTTGAATTATACTACTTGGTTGATTTCCAAAGTGGATCCAATTAAGTATATTTTTTAAAAGCCTTCTCTTATTGGAATAATTGCACGTTGGCATATGCTATTGTCTGAATATGATATTGAATATCGTACTCAGAAGGCTATAAAAAGCAGTGTGTTGGCAGATTATCTTGCTCACCAACCAGTTGATGATAATCAGTCTGTTAAATATGATTTTCTTGATGAGGATGTGATGTTTTTGAAAATAAAAGATTATGATGAACTGTTGCTTGGGGAAGGTCCTGATCCTGAATCCCGATGGGGTATGGTATTCGATAGAGATTTAAATTCTTATGGGGAAGGAATTGGTGTTGTGATTATTACTCCTCATGATTCATATATTCCTTTTACTGCAAGGCTGACATTTGATTGTACCAATAATATGGTAGAGTATGAGGCTTGTATCATGGATCTCGAGGAGGCCATTGATCTCAAAATCAAAATTCTAGATGTGTATGGCGATTCAACTTTGGTAATAAATCAGATTAAAGGAGGATGGGATACTCGTCACTATGGCTTGATTCCCTACAAAGATTATGCTAGAAGATTATTACCCTTCTTTATTAAAGTTGAGTTCCATCATATTCCAAGAGATGAAAATTAGATGGCGGATGCTTTTGCCACTTTGGCTTCTATGTATCAAGTAAATACTTGGAATGATGTGCCTTGTATCACAGTGTGACGTTTGGGTAGACCGGCTCATGTGTTTGCAACAGAGGAAACGTCAGATGAAAAACCTTGGTATTATAATACCAAGCATTTTCTCCGGACTCAGGAATACCCGGCTGGTGCGTTGAACAAAGATAGAAAGACATTGAGAAGGTTGCATAGTAGATTTTTCCTCAGTGAAGATGTGTTATACAAAAGAAATTATGACATGGTCTTGCTCAGATGCGTGGATAGACACGAAGTAGACATGTTGATGCATGAAATCCATGAAGGTTCCTTTGGTACCCATGCCAATGGACATTTGATGGCAAAGAAGATGCTTAGGGAATGTTACTATTGGCTGACAATGGAATCTGACTATTATAAATTTGCAAAGAAGTACAATAAGTGTCAGATTTATGCTGACAAAATTCATGTGCCTCTGGCGCTTCTCAATGTTATTTCTTCCCCGTGGCCTTACTCTATGTGGGGTATTGATATGATTGGAATGATTGAACCCAAGGCGTCGAATGAACATCGTTTTATCTTGGTGGAAATTGACTACTTCACCAAATGAGTGGAAGCAGCTTCGTATGCTAATGTTACTAAGCAGGTGGTAGTACGCTTCATCAAGAATAATCTTATATGTCGGTATGGTATGCCAAGTAGGATTATCACCGATAATCTTAGATGATGACAGAACTTTGTGAAGAATTCAAGATTGTCTATCACAATTCATCTCCCTACATGCCAAAGATGAATGGGGTTGTTGAAGCTGCTAATAAAAACATTAAGAAGATCATCCAGAAAATGGTTGTTACCTATAAAGATTGGCATGAGATGCTCCCTTTTTCTTTGCACATTTAAGCTACCAGCAGAAAACACATAGCCGCCACCGAACTTTATTTATCCTGAAGGAAGGGGAAATATCGATAAAACCACAAGGGAATGGATAAGATGGTCTTGCGACCAAGAGAAAGGGTAAGGGAGTCGGTTATGCGAGGGGAAGGTATTAGCACCCCTCGCATCCGTTGTACTCAACGGGATCCATTTTGTTTGTTTGTCTTAAAGGGTGTATTTATCTATAATTATACTTGCTTAAAGGGAAATGGATGGTTTTTTGTTATTGCGTTCGTGAGGGTTTCGCGACCCTTTGCCTACGTATCCAATGAAGGAATCAGAACACCGTAGTTCCTCTAGAAAATGATTGATTTATTTGTGTTTTTTAGTGGGCGACGTTAACGCACGCATTCTAGCAATAGGCACGGTCG